GATGGTTTGTTGTTTCTTCAAATTTTTACCTGAGTTCAGCTTCTTTCTTTGACCTCCTTTTATGAGCTCAGTATTTTGTAACTTCAGTTTTTTTTTGTAAATTAAAAACCCTACTTTTCTTATTCACATGCCTGCTCCTGTTTTAAACTTGGCCCCTCACATGTATGTTATGATTAACTGCACATACCAGAATGGATGGTTTTTGTAGGGGAGAGCTGCCCTTTTGTTTAACCCCAGTTTCCCCTTTTTATGTGTTGGTTAGGTTGGTTATTTTGTAGGTTTGTATATTTTGGTTTCTTATTGAGTTAGGTAAGTCCACTTTTCTTTTTTCTTTAGGGTTGTTTTGTTTGTTATTTTGGCCCGGGCTATCCCTGAAGCTTTTACCATAATTTATTCAAAAGAAATGGCAGAATAAAACTTTTAAAATGCCCTTTTGACTCCTTCGTTCACTGTCTAAATTTATGTTGGTCCCTTACACCCCCTAGACTAAGCCAGGGGACGTAACACTTAACTAGAACCTTCTAAGTGCTACTAGCCAAAATGAAGTTGGCTTTCCTTATTATGGAGGTTTTCTACCTTTTGCTATATGAAGTATTGAAATTATATAGAGAAACTTTTAGTTGTTTTCAATTATCACATCAGAGCTTAGAAAGCACCATCTATAATATAAATCATTATAATAAGTCTCTTAGAGCCCAGAGGATTTATTCGTCTCGTTGGCTCAGAGCTCATCCGTCTTTCCCTCCGAGAAGAAGCCACCAAAAGAGCTGCTGCTGTGATTAAATCTACTCGTCTTTCACATAAAAAGAAATTCTGGATCAGTATTTCTTTTGTTATTTTTGTAAAGTCAATGAGGCAAAGCAACCTGCCAGGTTTCCTTTTCATCAAAAAACTTTTAAAATAAAAAAAAGAGATTTTATCAAATATATGAGAGACATGTTCAGTGCAGAACATTAATCTTCCTCTAAATGAGGTTTAGCTTATGAAATAATTAACATATGCAGGGTATAAAACATAACCTTGATATAAGCAAAAATATTTATATTTGTAAAAGCCATTATGTGAACATCATACCGAGACAATATATAAGCCCACTGGCCACCACCAGACCAGCTCCCTCTCTAGCAGTCTGCATATCTCCCAGCATGCTCCACTGGTCGATATTCGGATCGTATCGCTCCATGCTGGTGTGTCGTCGGCTGCCATCGAAGCCGCCAGCAACATATATCATATCTGCAAAATATCAAAAAACATCCATGCTGACTAACTAAATTCATGACTTTTGCTCCTGAAAGTCATTCCTGTCTCCAAGAATAATACCTGACTAAACTGAAAATATCTACCTCCTAGAGTCGTGGCTCCAGCGAGACCGCGGCGTACGTTCATGGTGGCGACGGTGTACCAAACACCGTCTTCATCGGCTGTGTAGTCCAGACACTCCACAGAGCTGAGCCTCGACCGGCCGTCGTAGCCCCCGATGACGTAAACTCGATCGTGTAGAGACACTGTGGCGACGTAGCGTCTTTTACGGGCGATGTTCTGGTGTGGACATAAAAGTCAGCATCAAATAAACCACCACACAAGTTAAAATCTTAAGATACTTTTTAAAAAATAACTCAACACTCACAGGTAGAAAGCTCCATTCCTGGGTTTTGGGATCATATTTCTCTACAACATCTATTGGAGACTGCTGGCTGCCGAACCCACCTATAACCAGCAGGACTTCTTTGGCACCTAGGAATATGGAGTGTGTTCAAAACACTTTAGTGTCAGACACATGCACCTAAATCAGTAGCACCTTAAAGCAGGGCTCCTACCTAATCTGGCTTGTGTGCGAGGACCCTGCATCTCACTCCTCAGCTCCGGTCTTAAGTGGAATTTTTTGGCCTCATCAACGAGGTCTCGACAAGGCAGGCTACATCGAATGAGAGGCTAAAACATGTGAAAACCTGTTTAATTATGGTGTTATAAATGCTTCAGCAGGAGATCTTTCATCTGAGGTCGGGCGCCTGATTACACAACAACCTGTTTGCGGGTCGCCCGGCTCACCTCGGCATCGATGACATCGGTAATGTAGCGGGGGGTGAGGAGCGGCATGCGGACAAACTCCAGCATGTCCGGGAGGTACGGTTCTCGCTCTTTCCTGTTGTGTTTGACCCAGTTCAACACGGCTTCAAAAACAGGCTCCTCTGAATCCACCTGGACACAAAAAAAAACACCAGCAGTTTAAAGCGAAACATAATCACAGCGAAGGGACACATGTAGATAAAAATGTTTATCTTTAAATAAGAGGCATGGAGGATGATCAGTTAAACCCCATAAATAGCAGGAATGTTGAGCAGAATGAACAACAACCAGTAAACAACAGATAGAGTCTGGGAAAATATTTATACAGCTCTGGAATTTATTTTTGTTTTTTACATTACAACCACACATGTATTTTTGAGAATTTAATTTGATTAATACTAAACAGTGCATAATAGTGAAATGAAAAAAAAAGGGATATTTTTTTTGTATTGTTTAAAATAATAATAAAAAAAGAAAATAAAAATGAAGGTTCATTAGTACTCCTTGATTCTAGATCAAGTTCTGGATCTTCAGTGGTACGTCTCCCCCAGCTTTGCAAGTCAAGAAATTGAATTTATTGAACTTTTTCAAGTTGTTGAAGGGATAAAAATCGTCTGTTTTCAAATCCTTTCATGGATTTATTTTTGAACTGTAACTAGGCCATTTTCACAGGTTTAAATAAACTTTGATTTAAACAAGAAGGGTTAAACTTAATCACAGACAATGATTTTAAGCAAGAATAATAATTAAAAAAAAGGAAAAATCCATACAATATTTTAAATCGATCTTGTTCTTGCAGGAAAATTCTCCACAGCAAAATTTGAAAACAGACATATCATCACAGAGAAGCATTTTTGGCATCATTACTGTAAAACAAACCACTAAACATTTGCTCTTTGAAGGCAGTGAAAGGTTGCGTTACCTAATGAAGCAGCTGGTGCAGTTTATAAGCCACAGGTTCACTTGGCAAACTCAGCACAGACAACTCTGCTCGCACAAAAGCACGCCTCCCTTTTCCAATGAAACAGTTGGAAAGCCATATCTTTTTCTCTAGTGCTACTTTCAGTTGGTTTATCACTTTGAACACAGCACATTTTCTGCTTGCAAAGATACAAAATGTGAAACTTTTTACTAGAAAGGCGCCTCTGACCTAATTTCAAAGTGTCAACTATAAGCTGCTGTGTTTCCCTTTCTAACATTTTCCAGCTAATGCTGATAGAAGAAGCAGCCTGATAATCAAATAACTGACAATTACTTTATAAAAGTTTGAAATGATTAACTATGATTATTATTATCAATCATTTGGCACATCCATCATGGCGATTTGATTCAGTATCGATTTCCTGACCAAACGATTTGATTATTTTCGATTCTAAAGAATACACCACGATTCGATTCGATTAATCGGTTAATTTTTTTTTTTGCACCTTACAGGCTAAACAAAGTTTCAAGTTTGAAACAAATCAATGAAAGCTGTAATATTGTTATGCATTTCTTTTTAGAAACAACAGCAAATAACACAAGTAGAAAAGTTGCAT